TATTGATGATGAAAACAATAACGAAGAACATTTTCAAATTCAATCAACTGAAAACGATAAAAAATATGTACTCGTTAATACAAGAATTGATTATCAATATCGCTCCGATGTTCTCAATGATATGTGTTTATACGACTTTGTCAGCACACTGTATAAGAAAAAAATGAACAGAACAGATTTGAAATATTTATCTGAAGCTGCGACATCGATGACAGACAAAATTAACGAAAAAGGTCGGCCACATAATCAACGTTATCCTTTCCAAAAGCAGAATCCACAAACAACAACACATCTCTTGATGGAATACAGTGAGCGTCATGTACCTATTCTTTATGGTCCACAAATTCCTCGACGAGATCGTGATGATACTCGAGAACGATACAGTCGAGCTCTTCTCACACTTTTCGTACCTTGGCGCATCGTTACTGATCTTTGTGGCGCCAATCAAACATGGGAAGATGCTTTTAAATCTTGACAAAATCGTATTTCTATTCACTCATGGAAGATCATAGAAAATATTCAACTTTTACATGAATGTAAACGAGATCACGATGAACATTTGCTTCAAGTTATTGCTGAAGCTCAAACTGATAACGATGCAATCGATCCTGTTCTTTTGCCTGCAAATCAACATATTGATGACGAATATAATATGAACGATAGTGAAGACTTATTAGAATTAATAGGCAATATAGATGAATACACAACTGCAGTGATTAATCCCATCAAAAGATCAACAGAAGATAAATATATTGAAGAAACTATTGAAGCAGTCGAAAATGTTGGACGATTTAGCCATATAAATAGTAAGTAATACTTTAAGAAAATTAGTCAATTAAAATTGAAAATAAATATATAAAATTTATTATAGCCCATCACCAATCTTCTTTAAATGAATTTATCGATTCTGCGAATCAACAACTTGTACCGTTCGTTTCTGCAACATCAACTCTTGTTCGACTAAACACAAAATGGCAAGAACAGCTGAAAACTGAGAGAGAACAAGTTAGACAAAGTTTAATTACAGGCAACTATGACAAAGCAGATGATACAATAGATTTACATACTGCAAAAGATGCTATTGTTGCAGTGGTGAATCCAAATAGTTATAATAAAAACAATTTTGAAAACTATGGCTTAATTCTTCCAGTGATCTCAGTCACAACTAACTCTCCTGCCCAAAAAAGCGTTGCAGATGAATTTACATTAAATAGAGAACAACGAGCTGCATTCATGATAATAACAAGCCATCTTGATGGGGACAGCCGATGTCGAACAGGTACCTTTATAACTTAATTTATCAGGAATTGAAGTATACAGTATTTTCAGGTGATAATAATGGTCAACTTATAATGTGCATACCTGAATGTGGCGGTACAGGCAAATCACAACTTATTCGTGCTCTCAGCAAATACTTTCTCGTTACGAAAAGAATGTAAATGATGCGAAAGCTTGCAACCACAGGAATTGCTGCTGCTGAAATAGGTGGCATGACAATTCATTCATTTTTGGGTGAACAACGTAATTCTGGAAAGCCACGAACTATCAAACCAGGTGATTTAAAACTCGAAAAAGAGTGGAGATTCGTCGAATATTTATTAATCGATGAAATGAGTATGGTTGGTTTAAATTTACTAGCAAAACTTAATCGAATTATTTGCTCTGTAAAACATGTTGATCCTCAAGTTCCATTTGGTGGTGTGAATGTTATCTTCTTTGGCGATTACTTGCAATATTGACCTGTTTATGATGCACCATTGCACACCGATTTTT